GGGAGCAGCTGCCTTCGCCGGCGGGATGCGTCGAGCAGGCAGCGGGCCTTGGGCACCGCTCCATCTTAATGACAGGCACAACTTGCTCTCTCTTCCCTCTACGATGTGCAGCAAAAGCACGATTTTGAGCAGAATTTGGTAACACTTGCAAGCCTGGTCACTTTATTAATAATCGATAACAATGGGAAAATAAATAGCCAGCACCTCGCTATCCGTCACACTAGAGTAACGATTCCCGGAGAGCGCTAGTTTCTCAAGCCCGGTTTTTAATGCACTTCATACCGTAAGACTGCAAACAAACCTTTACTGATATAAAATACGTGTCTCAGTACTGGATTTGGTTTTCTTCAGGGTTTCCTTCTCAGTTAAACAGCGCAGCAGTAACGTTCGTGCTCAGGAACACCGTTAGTTTTACCAACTGGTACAGACAGCAAAATAATACACTGCTGCTTTTTCCTTCACCTGATCCTTTCAAGCACAGACCTCCGGGTAACACCAGGACTGTTGTATATAGCCGTAGCTTTGAGTAGCAAGTAGGCACCTACAGATTTTTTGAAACGTGATCTCACCTTGCTTGGGACTCTTGACTGGCATTACGAAAACTGGAATGGCGTGTTGGCAGGTAATACAGTGTTTCAAAGCTTTCTACTTAGATTTTTAAAGTGCAGGTGGCAGAAAACAGCTTTGGTGTGGCAGATAGATTTCACAGCGCCGCATCCTTGTCCTTCAGCTTTCTGTGGCTTTTTCTTGCCTTCATAGCAACTCTGCAGCACTTACTTCAGCCGATGATGATGTTTCATCCATCATTTTTTTAAGAGACATATTTCTTAGGAAATATATTTACTAGCAGGTGTTGTTTATAAAATAGCCAGAATCCACCTGTACAAGTGAAGTTACTCCTTCCACTCTGAAGAACTGCATCTGGACATCATTCTGGGACTTAAAAGAGTATTACAGAGTAAAAACTAATGGGAATTAGCATTTGTGATTGTGTTGCCATTGAATCAAAAGCACTTGATATTTTACAGCTATTTCACGTACACTTAAAGAAGCTTTCGTATTTATGTGAGTGTGAGGGAGGGAAGAAGAAAAAGGAAACGACTTCACCTTTTCAGTGAACAATCCCTCGATTTTGTTCTATGAGGCTGATAGCACACCAGAACCACTGTCAGGTTAGGAATTGCGCAAGCCTCAAAGCCAATCTAACTATAGAAATCACGGTGCAGATGAAGAAAAATACGGCGTTTGGTCTGGTTTTTGAGGCAAGGAGCTTCAGCTAATTGTCATTAGCTGTCAGGCTTGCAAATATATTCAAGTATTTTATACTTTCTTCTTCAGACCAAGGGAAAACTTGCAGAATCTCAGCAGGAGTTACGCTACCAGATCAAAGATGAACGTGGTACTTGGGCAACATCCCCAGCTGTGCAGGCGGCCGCGGCAAGCTAACCGTTCCTGTCCTGCCGAAGTTTTTCTGAAGAGCCTTCACTGGAACAGAAACACCACCTAAACAGACGGCAGTTAATGCTAAAGAAAAGCAGACTCCTGAAATGGAGGTGATCAGCTCATCAGACACTTGGGCAAAGGCTGTCTGCTGCAAGCTGCTCGTACGCTGCTCTGATCACCCAGGTAGCACAAAACTAACCTGAATATACCACAGTTCAGGAGCAGCATCTATGATGTGATGACAAAAAGTAATTTGCTGCTAACTCATGCAAAGAAGAAAAAAAAATGCTTTATGTGATGCTTCTGTTAGGATAAAATTACCAGAACAAGGATATCAAATGCCTTGTCTCAGCCCTAGTGAAAAACATGGACAAGCAATCACACTATATGTCATGAAATAGCAAACCTACTAAAAGACAGGTTTGTAATAACCATTTTATATTTTAATTACAAATTCATTAAAAATCACAAGGAAGTTACTGGTTTTGTACCTACCCAACATCAGAAACTGCAGAGGTTTGCAATGAATATAAACAAACAGGTATATTTACAGAGTTTATTAGAAACCATACATACATACATTAGGAAAGGATGTACTGTACCTACTCGTTGCAGCTTGCACGTCAAGGAACTGAGATCTCCTCAGGTTTAGCAGTCTTAGTGCAGAATGGATTACAAGTAGTTTACTGACCAGAGTTCAAACCAAGTGGAAGTTTTGTATCGTGAACCAAGTACCTTATTATCAAGTTACTTTGTTATTTCTTTCTTTTAAAATTAATTAGAAGGAAAAAAAAAAAAAAAGCCCAAAATGCCTCCGCCACATGAAAGCAGCCCCACCATGTACAACCTCTCCCATGTACCCGAGCTCATTCACCCCGCAGTATTCAGGCATCCCATGAAGTCAGTGGTTTTGCTGAGACAGTCAGCTGCACATAATCAGCTATTCATTTTTGCACCAAGCATAACTCAATTCATATTAAAGAAAACAAAAAAAAGCACCTGTTGTTCTCAGGAATATACAAATATTTACCACAGTTTTCATAGCTCATTACAAAATCAGTTACAAAAGCTTACAGCACATTATGTACAAATTCTATCCAAATACATCACGGAGCCATCGCCTGGCACGCTGTCTAACAGCATCGCTCGTCACTTGGAGCTGCGCTCAGCTCGCCCCGCTCTCCGCCCGCATCAAACTCCTGAAACGCTGCGGGTGTCCCAGGCGCAGTGCCACGAACAGTCTCTGGGGTGGCATTTCAG